ATCACTTATGAAGGAGAAAAAGATAAAACTTTCTATTTGTTTATTCAAATATTTATCAATTTCCTACTATGTTCCAGAGAATACGTATCAATCCAAAAAATGAGCCATTAGGAAGAAAGATTCAGGAGCTATGTATAAACACCTATGCATATAAAAGGGCCTCGATCACAATATTTTTTTAAAGACTTTTTGATGTGGGCTATTTTTTAAGTCTTTTCTGAATTTGTTACAGTATGGCTTCTGTTTCATGTTTTAGTTTTTGACTGTGAGGCATGTGGAATCTTAGTTCCCCAATCTGGCGATCAAACTCATACTCCCTGCTATGGAAGCTAAAATCTTAACCAGGAAAGTTAATCTTAACCACCAGGAAAGTTCCCCAAATTACAATATTTGATTATCAAGTCCAATGGGCTCCTGGCAACATTAAGGGAAATAGAGTTTGCACAGAAGAGGGCAGGTAACAGTTTTACTCAAATGGGTAGTTGTTGGGCCTGAATTGTTATATTTATTTCTGAGCATCCCTGTATGATACATTTGGAATAATTAGATTTTATACAGAGGATATTGACTGAGATAATGCATTGATACATAGGCCAAATCTGGATCAAGGAAGGAGGCTTTGAAGAAGTTAAGTTGATTATTGTGGAAAAGAGAAAATGTGGGAGACGTAGTTCTATTCTAGTATCTAAACCACATTTGTGTTCACGTTGAAGAAGTCCCTTGTGGGAGGGGTCAGAGTTTGCAGAATAAAGCTGCAGTGAGGTATTAATACATTTCTGTATAATATAGGGAAGAATGATTTAGTGATTATAGCTATCTAAAAATAGAATAGATTTTAGTTCTTGGTTAATTGGAAGTTCCTAAGCAAAGACTAAATGAACACTGGAGGGCATCTTGACAGTGAGTTCTACATCTTGAATATTGTGGAATGAATAGTTTTGGGAAACAGTCTTTCAGGCCAAATATGTAAATATTAAGAAGTTATGTAAAAATTGCTGACATCTGCTTATAATGGGCTTTCCAGGTAATGCTAGGGGTAAAGAATCTGCCTGGCAATATAGAAGACATAAGAGACTGGGGTTTGATCCCTGGGTCTGGAAGATCCTCTGGAGGAGAAAATGGCAGCCCACTCCAATATTCCTGCTTGGAGAATTACATGACAGAGGAGCCTGGCGGGCTATAGTCCATGGGGTCACAAAGAGTCAGTTGTGACTGAGAGTCTGAACATACGCACCACTTATAATATTCCCTGTAAAGTCCCTGAACCTGCTCCATATCAGAAAGCATGACCCTGATGGGTATGCCAGAATTTTAAACCATATTATTTTATTTTTCTTAAATTTATCTTATTCAAGTATAGTTGATTTCTAATGTGTTAATTTCTGTGGTACAGCAAAGTGGTTCAGCTAAGCACATATACATTCTTTTTCATATTTTTACCATTATAGTTTATCACAGGATATTGAATACAGTTCCTAAACCAAATCACTTTCTAATCAGGAAGCTCTCACTTTCATTTTTATTTATTTTTTGGCCATCGTGCATGGCATGCAGAATCTTTCCAAGCAGGGATCAGACCCGTGCCCTCTGCAGAGGGAGGAAGCGTGGAAGCTTAGCCACTGGACAGCCAGGGGACCCCGAGACCTCTCCTTTTTCCTTTGAGCTGATGATCTTTCCTAGGCACCGTAAGTCCTAATCTCCTAGAGGAAAGGAGCACCTAATAACGCCACTTCTATTTACTGAGGAGGAGGTTTGTGTTCATCTAACTCCTAGGAAAAGAACAACCTTCAAGTGATTCTCCCCTCATCCCATAATATTCTTTAAAAAGCCGTCTTGCAAAAACCCAAAGATAAGTCTTGTTATCTGTGTGCTAACTGGTGAGACTGTGGTTATCCTTTGAGTCTTTCAGTTCAGATTGTAAGCAAAACACGTCCAGGCCTTACAGTCTTTGTAGGACCCCCTCAGGAAAACCCAGAGGGAATTTTCCTCTTGGTTTAACTAAGCCAAACCCAGTTCTGCTGGCAACTATTACTTTGTACATCTTACATGCGGTCAGTTGTTGATGTTCTGGCTCAGGCTCACATGGAAAAATGCTTGCATAATAGTACGTGGTTCATGTGAGTGAGGGAACGGTGCCCTATGGGATTCTCTTTGGTAATATGTATTCAGGGACATAGGACCTGTGGAAGTAGTGGGGATGACTACCTAGAAGCAACTTACATATTTAAACAATTACTGCCTAACAAATGTAGATTGGCATGACCAGGATAATTTGTAAAATGTCTCTTTCTTCCACGATTAAGAAGGGTGAGTGAAAACACCCACTCAATTTATGATATGACCTGGTGGTTCAGCAGTAAAGAATCTACCTGCCATGCAGGAGCCGTGGGTAGGGAAGATCCCCTAGAGAAAGAAATGGCAACCCACTCCAGTATTCATACCTGGGAAATCTCATGGACAGAGGAGCCACAGTCCGGACCATGGGGTCACAAAAAAGTTGGACATGACTGAATGACTAAACAACAGCAAAGCAGTAAGGAGCCAACAGGTCAGCGTTTTCCTTCCTAAACCAGAGAGATGTATTCATTCATCCACCAATCCAACAAATTATGTGGCTGATAATATGGAGATGATTAAAACAAATCTCCTGCCCTCACAGAACTCAGTCTAGTAACAGACACATATTTAGGTGATTCTAACATAATCAAGTAAGAGAGAAGGGCATTAGATTTTATGAGACTATTTCGGAAGGATACCCAACACAGCTGAAGGTGAAAGGGAGCAGGATTCTATGGTCCTGCCCGAACCCCCTCCACCCCCCCCAACCCCTCCAGAGTCCTTAACCTGTCTTTTGTCTGTGGAAAACTTTAGTCAATAAATTTAATCAGAGACTTGAGAAATAGGGAAACAAAGGAAAACAATCAAAGGAGACTAAATAAGAATAACGTACTCATTAAGCATAGTTAAGGACTTTTAGTTCTTTCTCAAAGGGCCATAGATAATATTCTGAGCCATGACTTGTAAGCTGTCTTATAGATATTCAAACACCATGTGGAGACATAAACTACTTGGTGACAAGAGTATACCCAGGACATGAGCTGCCACAATTCCAAGAACTGATCACAAAGAAATGGGAACAAATGACCCTGGAACTGAAGATTAACTGTACCTAAAACAATCAAGACGACATACTGCATTGAAGTTTTTTGGGTTTTTTTTTTTTGCATTGAAGTTTTGTATCTTACAGGTAGCTGAAAGTTATACAGGGTGGATTTTTAGTTTGGGTTTGTTCATTGGTGAAGCGAGAAATACTAATGTAGAAATGGAGACATAATACAACACTGCAGCTGTTCCATCTGGAGGAATTTTGAAACTTGCAATGCAGGAGACCCAGGTTTGATCTCTGGGTCAGGAAGCTCCCCTGGAGAAGGAAATGGCAACCCACTCCAGTAATCTTGCCTGGAGAACCCTATGGACAGAGAAGCCTGGCACGGCTACAGTCCATGGAATTGCAAAAAAGAGTCGGGCACAACTGAGCGACTAACAGTTTACAATCAAACTTCTCTGCAGATCAACAATAAGGCAGTGGGCTTTCCTGGTGACTCAGTGGTAAAGAGTCGGCCTGCCAAAACAGGAGACACAGGTTTGCTCCCAGGTCTGGGAGGATTCCAATGCCCTGGAGCAACTAAGCCTGTGAGCCACAGCTATTGAGCCTGTGCTCTAGAGCCCGGAGGGGCAACTGCGGAAGCCCAGGGCTCCCTAGAGCTAGTGCTCCACAAGATAAGCCACAGCAAAGAGAAGCCCAAGCTCGGCGGCTAGAGAGTAGTCCCCACTCCCGCAGCTAGAGGAAAGTCCCAGCAGCAAGGAAGACCCAATACAGTCATCTCCCCGCCCCTCAAAAAGAACCAAAAAAGAAGAATTAGGCAGAAAGTGGAAATAATGTAGAGGAGCTGCAGACAATCATAAACTTTCCTTTGGTCTCTGAATGCCTTATCACCCTTTTCTGCCTTAAGGTCAAATCCTGGATGTTTTTCGAGGTGTTTTTAGTGTGGAAATCGTGGTTCTCTATTCTGTAGGAGTATTGCAAAGACTGAGATATGTAATGTGTATGTTTTTAGGGGCTGCATGCATTATTAGCGCATCTTTTAAAGAAGTACGCATCCTCTCTGGACTGATGGGTGTTTCCAGTTTATTTTTATCCTTAAACCTTCTAACTCCACTGAAGATGCTTTCAATACAAATCTAATAATACCGGCAGCTCACGTTTATCACGTACTCAAATCATTTAATCTTTGAAACAATCCTATAAGGTAGGATTGTTACCCTCATTTCCTGCGTGGAGTCAGAATCTGCTGCGTGGTTTCAGAGCCCAGCACTTAACTACTGTTTCTGCACTTTTGGTGGAACAGATCTGGGTCACCTCTTCGACCATAATCTACTAGCAAACTCAGTTTTCCTTTTTGAAACCATTCTCAACTGCCTTCACTTATCAAGGGCTCTCGCCTACGTTCCCGGGTCCAAGAGAAGGTAATTTAATTCACCCAGATGGCACCCGCCCAGCCACGTCCTTCTCAGATTCGCGAACTTTCACCTTGCCTGAGCAGCGAGTCTGCACCACCGTCCCTTTATTTTACCGGTCTCGGAGCTGCCCGATAGTCATTATTTTAAGTAGCAATACAGTAGGAGTATTCTCTAAAAAGACACAGGTCCCCATCAACTCTTACGAGCGAGCACGTTAAATGGACCACTGAGCCTGCCCAGAGTGCAGGCACTGGCGCGAAGGTGTGGGCACCGAAGCGCAGCAGGACCTCGGACTGGGACCGACACGGCGAGCACAGTGGGGGCTACAGCCAGGGACCAGAAACGCTCGGGCCAGGCCCGCTGGGACGAAGCGGGCGGAGCGGGGCGGGGCGCGGCGGGACTGTCGTAGCCGCCGCCGCCGCCGCCGCCGCCGCTGGAGAAGGAGCAAGAGTGGGGAAGCCCCTGAGTGAAATCCACCATCCCGCCGCCTGGTCTGCCCGCCCCTCCTTCCTTCTCCCCCGACCCCTGCCCCCTCCCCCCACAGGTGCCATCCGCCGCCATCCGCCCTCTCTACCCCCCCATCCCCAGGTGAGGGGGGTGAGTTCAGGAAGCGGAGACCCCGAGGAACCCAGCCGGGTCACCATTTGCAGCGCAACATGGCAGGTAAAGGAGAAATCACCCTCTCCACTGACAAGGCACCGCTTCCTTCCTCCTCCCTCCATCACCCCCTAGCGACCGCCTGCGCCTGTCGGAGAGCCACGGGGCGCCCCTCGGATTTCAGGGAATTGGTCGGGTGGGGTGGGGGTGGGGAGGGTTCTGGGGAGGCGAGTGGTCGCTGTGGCATCGCAGTGGCTTTTAAAATGAGGGCTGGCGCCTGGGCATGGGTGGGGGTGGGGTGTGTGCCGGCGAGCCGAGGGGTAAGGCGTGGGTGGGGCGGGGTGGGGGCGACCGCCGATTTGTCCCTGCGGCCTGGGAGCCGGGAGAAACCTCCGCCCCCGCGCCCCCCCGGGGGGCTTTTTTGCCGCTCTTCCTTCCGGTAATTCCTATTTTTCTCCCTTCTGCAAGCCTTCTCCGGTGTTTCTACAAATAAATCTATTTTGCACCGAGAAGGAAGAGTGCTTTACAAGTTAAAATACAATGGGGACATAGTGTATTTCTTTCCACTGTGGGTACGTATATTTTTGAGATTAAGCCTGAATTTTTTGGGGGATCTGGAACCATTCTCCCTTTGGTTTCTTACCGTTTACATCCAAAGAGTGCAAGGCCTCTAATACAGCAAGTTGTGTGAAAAATGTAATTTAAACTTACGTTTTGCATGTTAGCTTTTGTGCAGATGTCCTTTTCCCAAAAGGGTTTCATGGAGTTAGTTAAAATAGTTGTGGAGTTCAGAGATATAAATAGCCAACGGAGGAGAGATTTAGGTAAAAGCTTGGAGGGGGAAAAAGATGCAGAGAGAAAACCAGGTTGGAATATTCAACAAGGAATGGAGGTGAAGGGGGAGAAAGGCAATTGCTTCGAGGATTATTTTTGTACATTTTGATGTTGCTGAATATCGTCCTTCATGTAGTATAATCAATTCTAGATCTCGATCCAGTGTCTTGGTAGATGCAGGACATTTTCCTCCGTGCTTGAAAGTGGAATAGAAACATTCAGGGACTAAACCCGTTTTCTGTGCTTACATCAATATTTAGACAGATCACTAAACCTGTAAAAAAGTTAACACGTTGGATCGGCTTAGGGTTTGCTGTGAATAAGTTGCTTTTTGGCCTCGTTGAATAATTATGTGAAATTACAGTTGTTTTGTTTTGCACAAGATGATGACAAATGAGCAGAATTCATTCTTTGCAAGGTCCTTGGGCTTCTGAGGGATTAGGTGAAGGGGAGGCGAAACAAGCTTCCTGTGGCCGTCCCTTCAGGAGCATTCAATTCAGTTTCTCTTCCTCTCAGTCTGGAGCCAGTGATTTGCTGGTAATGAACTGCAAAGAAATGGGTGGCGAGGTTGTGTTTGCTGTTATGTGCGCCTGTGGTGATAGGGTTCATATGAATCACTGCTCCTCACCCAGGCAGTAATGTTCCTGAAGTTTTCTCTTCGTTCCGTGTTTTATGGTAGCTTAACCTTATTAACTCTTCTGCAGGCTTTTGTACCCTTAAAGAAAAACTCTGACTTTTGGTATTTACGTTTTTCTGGTAGGTCTTGCTTGATGTGAGGCTTTTACTGTATTTGAGGGGAAGGAAAACTGGAAGGAAAGTTCTGCACTCTTGTACAGGGGTGATGATAGTACATGGACGACAGATATTTCAGACCTGGAATCTCTCTTTTGAAGACAATACCAACTGTTGGGGACTAACCTTTTTCCAAATTTTAGTGCTCTGGGGTGGTGGTTGTATCTGTGGGAACTACCGGGCGGTTAGTCTCATGCCGACCGTGGATACCATCGCTGTGTTTACGAGAGTAAACATGAACAGAACTCAGTTTTAATTGGTATGTTTTCTTTTTCCAGGAGCTGGAGGAGGGAATGATATTCAGTGGTGTTTTTCTCAGGTGAAAGGAGCAGTAGATGATGATGTAGCAGAAGGTAAGAGAGCTTCTAATAATGCAGAATTTGGATATAGTATCTTTTCAAAATCTCAGGTGCTGAAGGACTTTGTAGCAGCTGAGTTCTGTATTGGTTTAAGGACGTTTTATGTTTGTTGTCCAAGCAGTGGGAGAACAGTTTTAAAAGGTAGTCTTAAAATATTTTATTGTTTATGCTGTGTTTTATTATTTTTTTCCTGATTAAAATGAGGAGCACTAGATAATGATGTATATAAAACTGTCATAAGAAGAATCTGGTCCATATGGTAAATGTGTCTTTGCTGTGTAAATTTCATGTACCAATAAATGGTGATACATTTTCATGGTTATGCACCGTATTTTTAGAGATAGCATCTTTCATTTTTAAGGGGGGTTTTTAGTTTTTTTCTTTTTTTAACTTGCCTACTTTGAGAGTGTGGTGTTGAAGTTGGCGTATTCTGTGAAGAAGTGCTGGCTCTAATGATGCCTTTAATTGTCTTTTAAAGGTTAATTTGGGTGGATAAGAAAAGACAAGTGTAATGGGTATAGAGTATGTCTTCTGTATTCTTAGAAACTGGATTTGATCAGTTGAATTGCTTAGGTATTTATTTTTCCCCCAGATTTATTAGCATATTTCAGAATTCTCAAATTTTGAAACTTCAAGATTTTTGATTTCTGATGGCATTTGAGATGGTCTTAGACGGAGGAGACATTTTTCATAAAATAGTTGTATTACATCATTGTTCAAAAATATTAAGGTATGAATTTTAATAGTATTCTGTGTCTTGAATTACAGTAGGAATTGTCTAAAACTCAGATAAATTAAAATAAGTACTTTTAATTTTCAAAAATTTGTTTAGTGAAAATTTATAAATTCTCTAGATTATGTTGTCCTCAAGATAAGATCCTGTTTCTGACCTCCTGTCAGTGTGCTGTTTGTTCTGACAGTTTTCCGGGTGATGCTAGGGTGATGGCCTGTGTTGAGCCAGTTGAATGCTTGGGTTTGCTTGTGTCAGTGTCATTCCGATTAAATACTTGATCAGAGCTTGTGGAGTCCTGTTGGGGAGCCAGCTGGCTTCCGTGGCACTTAAGATAGGTCTGTCGCGTTTCTTTCTCTTGAATCCTCATCCGTTTTGCAGATGAGAAACTGGAAGCTTAAAGGAGTTGAGACTCATTGCTGGTCATACAAATAGTGCAAATCAAGGTTTTCTGGTGAAGCCTGTGGCATTCAGCTTGTTCAGAGAAAGAAATCCCAAGTTCAAGGGAGGAGTCATGTGTTACTCATTTTGTAACTCCATTACCTGTTGAACAGTAGGCACTCAAATATTGGATCATTAGTTCTGTGCTGTTGTGTAATACACACCAAGTTATGAAAGTGCTGGATCCTTGAAAAACATTCCTTTGTTGATTTCCATTTATTTCCTTTATCAGAGATCTGCTGGGGGCCTGCTAAACATACTAGGGGTCCAATGTGTCTAGAATATAAACCCTGCCCTGAAGGAGTTCATAGTTTGCTTGCTAAATAGGCAAAGACCACATGAATTTTATTTAATCAGAAGAAATTGATGATTTCAAACTTAACCTAACTGAACCAAATGATAGTTTGTGACATATATGATGGATCAGTAAGAGTTTTCTTTTGCTAATACTTAGTAGCTGCATTTTGCTACTGATTCATTACATAATTTTCATCTGAGGTTGTTAAGTATTACTTTTAACACACAGTACACTCTTGGCATTTTAACATGCCGAAGTGTGGTATGATTTTAATAAAAACATGATTTATTCTAGTACCTGTGTCCATACAAATGTAGTAAGTATAAAAAGCACTCAATTTTCAAGCTTTAAATTTGGGTATTTTTGTATACTATAGTTTGCATACTATAGTCTGATATGTTTATTTTACTAAGAAAAGGTTTGTTTTTCTGAAATAAAATAAGATTAATACATTTCCCCCTGGCTTCAGAGTGTGATCTGTAAATGATTACATCCGGGTCAGTCTTTGGCTTGCCTGCTTTCTGTTAAGGATACACCCCAAGTTCTTTTCCATCAAAGGCTCCAAATTGTCTTTTCCTCCTACGCACAGTCAGCTGTCATGGCGTACCCTTTTTACCTCTGTAATGCTTTAATCTTCTTTCCGTGCCCACTTTCACCTTGGTTAAGGTTCTCAGTATTTCTCATCAGGATTGCTGTAACTTCCTAAATGATTCCTTGCTTCTTGTTAAATGTTTTGCTTCTAAGTTAATCTTAAATGCTGCCCAAGTTTGTTTTCCTTAGACGTTTTTGGTGGTTACTGTACCCACAGGATTATGAATTACCTTCAGATATTTTAGCGTAGAATGTGAGATGAGACTTCTCACCAATATGACTCCTACTTCTTTAAGCTTCTTTGCCAGTGTGTTTTACTGTCCAGGTGAATGGATACTGTTCTTCAGACAAGTCCTGTACGGTCTTACTTGGAGGTCTTCGTTTTGTCTTCGTTTTTCGCGCTTCTTCCCATGAAATGCCTGACGCTCCTCCCACTCTTCTCTTAGCAGAATCGTATTCATCCCTCAAGTCACGTCTGTAACCCTTATTCTCATCTCACTTTTCCAGAAATATTTAAAACCTTCCTTCTTAGCACTTTGTATCTATAACATTTAGCACCCCCAGCCTTCACTGTTGCACTGTAAGCTTAGTGCAGGACTGCTTACCTTTGTCCTCTGTGTGGGACTTTCTACGTAAAAACTGCTGTGCTTAGAACAAAGCCTGGAGCCCGGTGGTGTTCAGTGTTTACTGAGTGGAGGGATAAAAATGTACTGCTACGGGATTATGAAGGAGGACAGATATGGGTGAAAGGTAGGGTGATTGAGACGTACTTTTTACTTGGCAGCTTTTTAAGTGGATTGATGATGCATATATAGCCGTATAATAGGAAGAAGTGAGGAGACCTTGAGTTTCTATCCTAGTAACAGGCTAGTATATGTCACTCTGGGTTCCAGTATGCTTAGCCTTAAGAAAACAGAACTGGATTAGGTGATTGCTGTTGTTTCTGGTCATCTAATCTTATTAATTCTCAAAGATGTCTTAGAAAAGAGACAGCCTCATATTGTTACTACTAGTAAGTTAAGTTGGTTGAGATGTTGGATTCTCTGGGGGCCTTCATTTGAAAAGAAGACGACAGTGGTCTTGGTTACTCAGGACTCAGGATTTTTCCTTAAGTACATTTCAGAACATTTCAGGGGGACTTCCCTGATGGGTCATATGGTAAAAATCTGCCTGCAATGCGGGCGACCCAGGTTCGATCCCTGGGTTGGGAAGATTCCCTGGAGAAGTGAATGGCTACCCACTCCAGTATTCTTGCCTGGAGAATCCCCTGGACGGAGGAGCCTGGAGGACTGCAGTGTATGGGGTCGCTAAGAGTCAGACACGACTGGGCGACTGTCACATTTCAGAACTGAGACAGAGTTTGGACATTTGATCATATACTCTTATTGTCCTTTGGCCCTAGTAGGCCCTTGGATGTTGACAGCCAGTGTTGGGTTACTTACTCTATGCCCTGTGTTCTTCAGGCACTTCACGTCGTTTACCTGTGATGTAGCTGCTTGTCTTGGAGAAGGATGAGGCACTAAAACCCCTGCCACTCACGTAGTCTCATGTCATGTAGTTTTTATTTTAGCCTTCATGGCAGCTTTAGCTGCATTTTACCGTATCTTCCGCTTAAGTTTTTCCTTGGCTGATGGCTGTTCTGTTATGAGACAGGAGTTTGAGCACAGACTCCAGTGCTAGGCTGCATGGTCGGAATACTGCCCGGTTGCTTCATAGCTGTGTGGTCCTGGGCAAGTACCTGAGCCTCTTTGTACCTGTTTTTCCTTGTGTGAAGCGAGGATGACAGTAAAATGTGTCCTATGAAGTTGTTTTGATGATTAAATAAGCTAATATTCCTAGAAAAGAAACCCAGCACATAATAAGGGTTTAGCTCTTGTTATTACTTGAACATTTATGGTGAGTAAGGGAGAGTAGGAGACTGGGCAGTTGTGTTTAAAGGCAACTAAAAACTTACCTAAGTGAGAAAACGGTGTGTGTGTTTGAACTCTGTATGAGTGGAATCAAAGAATATGTATAAATGGGATGGTGAATTGACCTGGATGGTGGTGGTACAGATGTTTGTAATAATTGATTCATTTTAATTTTCTATATTTGGTAGATTTCACAGTAAAAAAAGTTTCTAAAAAAATCCAATACTGTACTGAAGGGTTTAGAATGAAAAACAACAGTCCCTTCCACACTCTGTCTCATATCCTCTCTAGTCCCTCTCGTAAGGGCAGTTACATTGAACTCTTCTAGCTGTATTCCGTTGGGCTTAATTACATTTTGTTTGGTAAATAAAATGACATTTCTCTTTTTTGTTGATTTTAAACATTTCCGATTGACTTCCTTCCCTGGTAGATGAAGATTTAGCTGTCGATGTGCTTATCCCCATGCTCCAGTGCTACATCACATGTTATGGTCAGATTAGAAATCAGTGCTTGCATTGTCATGAGGATGCAAATAATTCATTCCTGAGCCAACACTGCTCTGTGATGTTGCTCACTTTTTGTGCATTCCTTTATTTTCCCTGAAGCTAATGATTGCCTGTTTCATAATTTGCCTAGATCTTTTAAAATGTTTTTTTTAAAAAAAACTTTATTGTGGAGATTTTGAACATTATAGGAAGTAGGTGGAATAGTGTAATGAACTCCCATCACTCAACATCGACATGAGGCTGGTGCTGTGGATCTCTTGACTCCTTCCCAGCTCTTATTATTTAGTAACAGAAATATCATTGGTTTTGTTTTTAAAATCTAGATTCAACAAACTTGAAAATCAAGTTTATCATTTTAATGTGAAACAGTAAGAAATTTTTCCTAATGATTTTTTGCGGTGACAGTTCTCGTAATTCATTAATTTGTTCAAATTTAACTTGTGAACAAAGGATTGTTAAAAATTCAGATACATGTGAGCAGTCTGAAGTGTGTAATTTTGAGTAAAAAAAAATAAGAA